GCCCCTTCCTGCAGGCCACGGCCCCTCCCAGCTGACCCTGCCCCTTCCTGCAGGCCCCACCCCCTCCCAGCTAACCTTGCCCATTCCTGCAAGCCCCGCCCCTTCCCAGCTGACCCTGCTCCTCCAGCCAGCTCACCCTGATGATGCTGTGGCATGTGCTGATGGGCAGGCCCACCAGGCTGGTGCCGTTGACAGACATGACGCGGTCCCCGATGTTCAGCTCGCCGCTTCGCTCTGCCGGGCCCCCGTGCAGTAGGTTGGCCACCACCACCGTAGGCAGGATGGATCCCCACCCCGACTCCACGACTGCCAGCCCCAGGATCTCGCCGGGGACCTTGCTAATGCACACCTGGCCAGGAGGACACAGAGACGCAGTCTGTACCTAAGCTTTTGTGACATCACGCCGTATGGTCTGTCCGCTGGGCAGAGGCCGGCAGAAGCTGCTGGAAGGGTGGGGGCCAAAAATGACAAAGGCCAACGATTATTTAATCAGAGCTTTGTCAAGCTAGTCATCTTACACATAGGAACACCAAGAGGACACATTATTCCATCTGCTCTTCTCACATGTATGGGAAACTGCATCTTGCAGTGGGAGACCACATCTCATTTCCTTCATTGGAAGGACAGCCATCAGAGATATTTTTCTCTAAGACAATCACTATTTACAGCTGCGTTATCAGTTTTGAATTTTGTGTTATGCTATTTACTAACCAAGTTAGCTGCAGTTTGTACAATCAGATAAGATAATCTTTATGAAAACTCAATAACATGAGATGATTAAATCCCTTTTATTGATTCACTGTTGGTTATGATAGAAAGTCATCAATGAGTTAAGTTTATGTAGAAAATGGGGCCGTGCTTTTCCACGCGCCTGTTATCTCTTTGCTTGTCCCCTCATCCCCTCCTAAATCTATGCCTCTGCTCTGATGAGTCTGTCAAGGCAGGAGGGAGAGCTGCCTTCAAGGCCTTCATTGACGTGCCAACATTTCAGCTATCGCTGTGCAATTTGTAGAGCCAGTGTTGTGCGAAGCTATATACCAGCAGGTCAGTTCTGATAGACGTTAGTTATTATCACAGGGGCCGGATGCAACTGTACCATGAGCCAGATGCGGCCTGTGGGCTTTGGTTTTGACACCCCTGACTTAGACCATTATAAGGGCACCTTATAGGGCACTGCGACACTATCTCTACACTAGAAGGGCACTTCATACCGGCACCCTTTTCCACTGGAAGGGTACCCATAGGGGCTACTTAGACCATTGTAAGGGCACCTTATAGGGCACCGCGTCACTTTCTCTCCACTAGAAGGGCACTTCATAACAGCACCCTTTTCCACTGGAAGGGTACCCATAGGGGCTACTTAGACCATTGTAAGGGCACCTTATAGGGCACTGCGTCACATTCTCTCCACTAGAAGGGCACTTCATACCGGCACCCTTTTCCACTGGAAGGGTACCCATAGGGGCTACTTAGACCATTGTAAGGGCACCTTATAGGGCACTGCGTCACATTATCTCCACTAGAAGGGCACTTCATAACGGCACCCTTTTCCACTGGAAGGGTACCCATAGGGGCCACTTAGACCATTGTAAGGGCACCTTATAGGGCACTGCGTCACATTCTCTTCACTAGAAGGGCACTTCATACCGGCACCCTTTTCCACTGGAAGGGTACCCATAGGGGCCGTTTAGACCATTATAAGGGCACTGTTTCACACTGTATTCCAAGAGAAGGGCCCTCAGTAGGAACACTGTCACATTTTCTGACTCTATAGGGCACACCATGTCCCATGAAGGGGGCATCCTCAGTGACACTGAATCATGCGAAGGGCAGACAGCAGCAGCGTGTTCACCACTCCACAGGGCACTTTACTGACCACTGACCACCATACGATCCTGTATTGCTGAAACAACATTGATTCTGTCAGTTTCATTCGAAGCACCTTTAGGATGGATACCGCCCCCCCCCCCCAGCGCTGCTGGCCTCGGGAAGGTATGATCTTTTCACGAACTCACCTCTCTCATGTTCTCAGAGCGGGAGAAGTGCACCAGGTCGCCGTTGTACAGCTCATGAGTGCCCAGGTAGTCGCTGTACTCGCCGGGCCGCAGCTCTCCAGCTTTGATGCCGTTGGCCTGCAGAAACTGCTGATAGGCCACTGCGAAAGCCTGGCCCATGGCCTGGGCGATGACCTGCGCCTGCGGAGGGATCAGGGACAGCGGGACAGGGGGTCACCTGAGGAGGGAAGGGGGGGATCTCTACTGGCCACCGGGCCGCCAGGCTTTTCTTTCTTCCAAAATAAGCTAAAAGGTCCAAATCACTGGATAACCATTTAAGAACAGGCTTGGTAAGAATGGTGACTGAGAGGCAGAGTGGTTGTCCCTCGTCGATCTCAAAGCGCAGCTCATATTGCGAGCCTCGGATACAGGCATTCATGCATTTACATATCATACATTTTCTCATTATGGTTACTTTGATATAACTGCTGGCCCACAGAATGCAGGGGTGTGTTTGTGCCACAGACTGGTAGCTACTCACACAATATGCCGCATGGCAGTACCATGTTCTATTTGCCGTGACCAAACAGAGCCACCTGTCCGTTCGGAGGAGGGTGACTCTCCGGTCACCTGCAGCAGCCCTGACAGTCCTGACTGGTGTCAGCAAGTGTTGCCAAACGGCAGTATGATCCCTACTGACTAAGTGTGGGATTTACTTACATTGGAACAGAGGAACACCCAAGGGCGGAATGTGTCGTGTGCTGTCAGATTATCAGCAGTGAGTGCATGGGACCTGCAGGAGGCGGTATTTCATCCTGAAACACGCCTTTTTGAAAGACAAGCAAGTGGATGTTTTCCAAAAGAACCATAAAGGTTTGGAGCAGCAGAAGCAGTTAGAAACAGTCCTACCCCAGGAGCCAGCTTGCTCTCTGAAATAGTAAGCGCTGTTCATGGATTTGTTTTTAAATATAATAACTGACACAGGCTGATGAAAATGACTCACGTCTTCAGAGGAGAACACGTGACAAATCATGCAGCAATTCTTGCGAGGCCCGGGGGCGTTTGATTCTGGCCCGTCGCCGGCCCCCTTCCTGCCTGGCGGCTTCCTACGTGCCATCAGAACCAAGATGGAACCGATATCGGCGATGTATGAGATCATCTGGAGTGAATGGTCCATCATGGCTTCCTGTGGAGTAACAGAGGAAGCTCAATTTAGCTACGAGACTGATAAAAACAACTAAACACTGCCTTTGCTCAGGCGTATCCTTCATTTGCTAAAATAAGGTCTTTATCAAGGCTCCTTAGACATTTATTGTTAGTTTCCAAGTGCTGGCCTATTGTGGGCGTACTGAGGCATCTCTAGCCAGACGTTACTGAAATACGATACATCTATCACTCCTGGTCAGGGTCAGAGGCGGAATGGAGCTTATCCACAAACACAGTGCACTGGGGGGGGGGGGGGGGCACTGCCAGTCTGACACACGCAGTCACACCCTGTCAGCAATTCAGAGATACCAAATCATCTAGCCGCCTATCTTCAGACCGTGCCAGGAAACCATGGATTGTGGTTCATGTTCATGCAAACTCCACACGCACACGAAAGAGAGGCAGGATTCAAACCCCACCCCAAATGGAGGGAGAACTACTCTGCACCTGTGTGTCTGTGCTTAGCACTTTAATGCGCTGGGTGGAGATGAAGAGGTCCACTTCTGTCATAGGCTGAGACTCCCCTTCTGGAGCCTAAAAACGAGAAAAACACAGAAATACGCTCAACTTTGAAGAAAAAAACACAACAACCAGAGCTAATTTAAGGACGGACGGATGACCTTGATCCTGTCCACAGCCTCTTGCGCCTGGGCCATACGGACGTTAGTGGAAGGGTTCTTCTCAGACATGAGCTGTGTGGAGCCCAGGTATTTGGCTCCAAAAATAACTCCATCTAGAAGGTCCTCTGGGTCACAGGGACCAGGAACTGGGTCACCAGTACCAGACAGGGAATGAAACATAAGCGTCTTTCTAGTGACTAAAAATCAGTACATATCGGCTGAAAGAAATGTCTGTTTATTATGCTACATATAACAAGCAAATGAATTTCTGTAATGAAAATAACTGACAACTGCTGCTTACACAAGGCTGTGCAATATTCTATACTGTTCATCACAAGGACATTAAAATGCATTTTAAAATGAAGCGGCAAGTGATTTTAACATTAAACCTCAGTTTCTTTTAAGGCTCTGTGCTATGACAGTTCATGCACCCCCACCATGCACTAAGGCGATGGATGGGACATACACAATTTTTTCCCCCCCAATGTTAATCTTTTATTGGATCATCTTAATATTGCAGTAAAACTTCCATTAGATGCCAGATAGTCGGGTCAGTAATAAATCATGATCCAGAGGTTAATAACTGTCACTGGGTGGATGTGCGGACGATACCCTCTCGCCGACCCCCTTACCGTCTTTATAGGCTGGGTGACAATCTGAATTCTGAAATCAAATAAAATATCAGAAAATCAATTCAGGAAACTAGCATAATAAAGCAGTGACACTGAAAAATCTCATGCAGATCCAAGATTCGACAAATGAAACATCGATCTTTCATCATTTTGGTTGTCGTGAGCAACTGACCCCACTGCTGATAGGGGCTGCAGCTTGGTCTTCTTCTAAAGAGGCGCGGTCTCCTGTCAGCGGCTCCAGATGCCCTGGGACAGTATTTCCACTATTGCCCATGTCCTGGGTATCTGCAAAACAATCCCAAAACCTCTGTCCTTCCTCCTCGCTGTAGGACACGGACACCACTGCATCGACCTCGTTCCTGTGTGATAAGTACTCTAGACTGGCCGGCCTTTGCAGTGGCGAGCCCTTCTCCTCAAATTCCAGGAGTCCCAAAAGATCTTTTTGATGGCTTTCAGAGAAAAGAAGCCCAGAACACTGGTGCTCCTCATTTTCAGGAAGCATGTTAACTTCTGAATGGGCAAGAGTTCGCTCTACAGGCATGTGAGAAGCAGAATGTGAAATGTCAGTGGTGCACGTGCTGTGATGTGGTGTTGGCGTGACGACCTGTAGCTGGCCCAAAAGGTCATCAATCTGAAAGTGATTATTGCCACCATCTGGTCTGTATTCCTCGTTCTGCTCCTTTTCATCCTCCATCTTCTCAGCATCTCTCCTTGCTGTACTATCCTGGTGGCCATCTTGCTCAAGCCCTGGCTCCTGTACACAGGCTCTGGTTTCAGAGAAAAGCCATGAGCCATGTACACTGTTCTCAGGAACGTCAAGCATGGTGTCTGATGGCAGGAACCTGCTGTCATCCATGCCAGCTACCGAAGCATCTTCACTGGATGTATCAGACCTCCAGTCCAGGGGTGGGGGCTCTATCAGATTAAAGGAGTCCAGATCCTCCACATCTGGGTTTCCGGAGTCTTCCTTACTGGCAGCCTCGGTGGTCTGGCCACACTCTTCCTCTGCCATAGCAGCCTCAGGCACTGCTTTGTCCTGCTGCACTGCCTCAGCTAAAGCCAGTTGTTCAGGTTCATCGATTCCAGGTAAAGCGGAACGGTCCCCCGGCCTACTTCTCAAGCGCACCAGCAGCTGTGACTGTACATCACCCTCCAAAGTGGCATCTTCCTGTCCATCCATCCAACTTCAGAGACAGAGAAAGAGAAGCTCTGAGTGTAAGTCGGCCCCCGTCAGTAGAGAGAATCAGGCCATCCACACCAGTGAAGTCCACCTGTATGTGACCTGAAGAAAAAAAGAGTTTTACCCATTTGGTCAGAGGTTTCCTAATTTCAGATTACATCATTATTGTACAGGTCATCATTACATCATTATTGTACAGGTCATCATTACATCATTATTGTACAGGTCATCATT